GGGGGTTTACTTTTCAAAATTGTTGATGCAGACGTTTGTTTGGTTGTGCCGAAAATTTTGCAGTCTCAGATAATTAAACAAATTCATGGGAAAGGACATTTTGCAGCAGCAAAAATGAAACAATGACTTAACCCTTAACGAACGAATGCCGCCATACTCGCGACATTGTAAATATTCTAAAAAAATCGAATGCCGCCATACACGCGGCATGACGTGATAACGCCGGGAGGAAGGCGGGAAACACGTAATTATTGCGATACTTGTAGTAAAAAACCTGGTATTCACATTGGGGACTGTTGGGAGAAGTACCACACACACAAAAAATATAAGTAATTTTGTGTAAATATATCGTTAAACTATAAAAAATAAATTTATAAATGTATACAAATCTATACATTACATACACGCATCTATTTGTTTATTTCAATTCCTATTATTTTTCTGAAATTTTCACTTTAGTGATCTTTTGTATGGACATATCTGTTCATATACTACCTATTATTCCGGTAAGTTTTTATAAAATCCAATAAAGCGATATTAATTATGCACCTTCTCTCGCTCTGGAAATGAAGCACTTAATTTCTTAAAAATCCCTCGACCTACTGGTCATAGTTTTAGAAAATGCGCTCGTTCGTTAAGGGTTAGAAGAGATTATTGGTTTCCAGGTATGAAGGTTAAAACGGAGAAAGTTGTTAGGAATTGTATTGATTGCATATTAGCGGAACGGAAGATGAGTAAACAAGATGGTTTTCTTACGCCAATTTGCAAAGGCGAGGTTCCATTAGATACATATCATATTGATCACCTCGGACCATTAACATCAACAAGGAAGGGTTATCAACATATTTTAATTGTCATCGATGCTTTTACTAAATTTGTTTGGTTTTATGCGACGAAATCAGCAAATACTCGTGAAGTGATTCTGCAACTTGAAAAACAGGCAACAATGTTCGGAAACCCACGTCGTATTATTTCAGATAGGGGAGCCGCTTTTACATCTAATGAATTTCAAGAGTATTGTAGTAGGGAAAAGATTCAACATTCGCTTATTACAACTGGACCTCCGAGGGAAAATGGGCAAGTTGAGCGGGTAAATCGTACATTTATTCCATTGCTTACGAAATTGTCAGCACCCGAACCGGGTAAGTGGTATCGAAATTTGGAAGCAGCTCAAAAATTTTTCAAAGCAACGCCACATCGTAGTATTAAAACGTCACCATTCCAGTTGTTTTTTGGAACGTGTATGCGAGATGATCCACAAATTAGGGAGATGTTAGAAGAGGAATGGGTCGCTAATTTTGAAGAAAATCGAAACGAACTGAGAGCGAAAGCGAAAGAACAACTTGCGAAAATTCAGGAAGAGAATAAGAGAAGTTTTAATAAAAAACGAAAGGAAGCAACAATGTACAGGGAAGATGACTTAGTTTCTATCAAAAGGACACAACAGGGTCTTGGGCTGAAATTAGCAGGGAATTTTCTTGGACCATATCGAGTTTCTAAAGTTCTTCGACACAATCGATACGTTGTGGAAAAAGTTGGAGATCATATAGGACCAAACAAAACGTCTACGTCAGCAGATCAGATGAAATTGTGGGCACATGACGAGCACGATGATTTTGACGAAAGTAGTGACGCAGGTATTGACGTGACAGACGACGAATAAATTCATTAATGAATCGAGTTGCAAATATTAGAAAACGTGATACCCGGGGCGGGTATCATTGCAGGATGGCCGACTGTGGAGTATGGAATTGATTGTAAATAGTTTTGTTCAATAACGCGATGTTTGATCGTTAATCTTTGGATTAACTCCCGCACTTTTCGCGTTTCCTTACTCCTTTTACGGTAATAAGGATGATTCAATATGTTATCAATGCTCTTTTTGAAACGAAATATTACTTGGTAAGAAAGATGTTGTTAGAATCTGATTGTATAATAACGCTGCTCCGTAACGAAAGCTAATCGACTATATGTGATCGTCAATTCGAAAACTTTAAACTCTGAATATGTCTTTTCGTTATAGATTGAAGTAATATTTACAATTGTCTGAATTGAACTTGTTCTCTTATCGGTTTCTTGTAAACCGATTCATTTCTCTGTCCTGTCCAATCTGATTAGCGATTGAGCTTCCGGAAGTTGGTCTCGCATGAATGTCATCAAAGGTAACCAATCAAAGTGGTTGTTTGACCTTTGAAAAGATATGACAGGTTAGTTTCGAATAACCGTAGACACTTCCATTGTATGCCCGCCATAAATCGTGCTGCTGTGGTGCACATGGTAACTGGTATCTGGTTCAAGCCCGATACATTGGGAACCCACGTCTTTGAAGTATGCTTAATGAGAGGACCTCTTGATAGGTCTCATCTCTGACTTCGCGGAAAGGTTTAAACAAAACACACAAAACAATTTATTTTAAGCAAACAAAACAAACACTGGTAACAACAACACTTTTAACTAACTATCTTTAAACGGAATTTATACGCTCAATTGCTATTTCTATTCGTTCTCGTTAAATTTCGCCAACTTTCTCGAAACGTCTTTCGTGTCTGAATTTCGCCAACGAATTGCCGTCTTTTTTCCTCCGCGTTTTCTTTGTCTCGTTATCAATTTGTTAATCATATCGATAACTTTCGAACACAACATTCAGAACTATTTACAATCGATTTGATTCCAAGTTTCAAACACGATATTCAAAACTATTTACAATCAATTCCACACTCCACATTAATAATGAGTGATTTGTAATATTTTTTGACTGTAGAATTAATAAACAATTTGTCGATTTTGTTATTTTTTACGCTATAAGTAAACTTTTCCACAAATATTTGAAAAATATTCAAATTCAATTTTTGTAAAAATGAAATGGTCTAAAAAATTGTATTCTGTATCTTTGACTTATTTTTTCATGAAGATTCGCCCTGTTTTCGCGTGTGTCAACGTTCCGGAAACACCCTGTACTTACTATATTGTGACGCATTTCTCAATATCGACTTTAAAATATGCGACTACTCATTGTAACTACTCAGTCTTTAGTCAGGAGTAATTAATAAAATTTTACTATGTGACATGTCTTCTTTATATCATTTGCAAAAAATATTTCATTGTTTTTCAATCTATGTATAATCTTACCAACTACGTAATCAATGATAAAAAAACTGTAGCAATTTTTAAGAGAGATTTAAAAGCTAACATTTCACTATTTACTAGGAAGTTTTATAATCTAATTGTTTAAAAGTATTTTATAACTTTTGTTGAAAAAATACACTAGTTCATTGATCGGAATAGGTAATAATTCAACGGAGCAAATTGGAGAAAACCGACAGACGAAAAAGAATGTTTCAACCTAATTCAATTAATTTTGTACGGGTCTGTAAAAAGACTTCAGGTCTTGCATTGTCGTATTGAAACTCAACGTTTTTTCGATTCAACAATGCAGGTCGTTTTTCTTGAATTGTCGCATTTAATCAATCGAACTAGAAGTAATATATACAGTGAAGGATAAAAGTATTCGTATACTTGAAATAATGAAACAAGAATGAACAATATTTTTTATATTATTAAATATATTTAATCATACACACCTGCATATTAAACATTACACTTACAGCGATAAACGACCCAAAACCGAAAACAATAACATCATGTAGTAACTTAAAATGACTTGAATTTCACGAAACCGTAAGAAATCTCCGGGACACAAGTATTCGTACATTATCATTTATGTTGATAAATACAGTAATTGTAATAGTATCAGGACATTCTGATCAATGTGATTAGATGATGTTCTGTTTGTGTAATCAGTAGCAATCGCGGCGAGTACACTTTAATTCTAATATTTACAATATGGGGAGAAAATACAATGAAACAACATTAGAAGAAAGAGAAATTGTTATACGGTTACATGAAGAAGGTAAATCATATAGAAATATATCAGAAATACTAAAAAAAGAGTCGGTCGACTGTACAAAGTATTATAAACAAGTATAAGAAAGAAGGAATATTGCGGAAGAAAAAAACTGGTAGACCCCGAAAATTAATTAGGAGAGAAAAGCGCAAAATCGTCCGAACTATTAAAGAAAAACCAGATACTAGTGCATGTAAAATTGCATTACATCTTAAAGAATACATATATGCTGAAAGCCGATATGATTTGCCGGAAAAGTTATTATACATAATATTAATTTATAAAATTCCTGCTAAAATAATTGTAACAATAATTAAGTGTACGAATACGTTTGTCCCGGCGATTTCTTACAGTCTCGTGAATTTCAAGTCATTTCAAGTTACTCCATGATGTTATTGCCTTCGATTTTGGGTCATTTGTTGCTATAAGTGTAATGTTTAATATACAGCTATATATGATTAAATATACTTAATAATATAGAAAATATTCTTCTTTTTATTTCTATATTTCAAGTGTACGAATACTTTTGTCCTCCACTGTAGTTCATGACCATCGATTTAGGACCACGACGAAAATTTCACTTTTGCGACTATAACATTTTGTATGGAAAATTATTTTGGGTCATGCAAAATTATTACTTATACGTTGATAACGATATAATAAATAGTAAGTGACTTGTACTATCTTGACAATAATTAAATTATTTGGGTGATGAGTGATAAAAGGCAGCACGAGCATTTACATTGGGCTCGAGTATCAGTAATGTGTGAGATCAAAGGTAAATGGCATAAAAAATGTCTGGAGCCTACTCAAAAGACACAGAGATATACTTGTGTTTACAAATATGTAATATCTTTATCACGAATGCTTACGTTTATTGTCTCAATATTAATGTTAATTTCCCAATTCTTTTGTTTCAAGTATATTTTATTGAATCCATGTTTATGCATTTTATAGATTAATTAGTATAGAATTATCTACATTATAATTTCAGAGTGATTCATTTGTAGTACTCATATACAGTTGCATTAAAAAAGCATTATGAATATTATTTAAAATTATATTGAAAAGACATAACTTATATTTTAGTAAATTACCTATCTTTTAGGAAATCTTTTGTCTGTCTTAAGAAATTTAGGTTCTAATTTTACTTAAGCACGAGAGATAAACAATTATTTGTAGTAAGTCAGACGTCCGAGCATAAAGGAAAACTAAAATAAAACAAATCAATTGATTATAAACCATAAGGATATTTATTATTTTAACACATAATTCGCCTCTACTCGCTGTCACACAACGCTAAATGTCGCTAATGACCTTTGATGTTGATGCAACTCTAAGCTCTAAAAAAAAAAAAGCGACGCTAAAGACGAACGACGACTCTCTGGACTGTTAGACGTCGCTGGGCGACGTCGTTGCCTGGTTTCATTTTGTTTAACGGTCACTCGATTCTGGAATATACTTACTTTGGAATAGACTTACTACAATTCGTTTCTTCGATCATTTTTATTGCGAGAAACTGCTTTTGATGATCTGTGCAACAAATTCCTAATAACCTTTAATATCGCAATCTGTTGCGTATCGAAATAGCAACATCGCCGCCTCTCTTATTTTCCCAATCATTTCCGATTATTCTGAAACCGTCAATTTCGAATTCGCAGTCAGGTTTTAGCCATGCTTCTGTTAAAATTATTATGTCATAGCCTCGACTGAATTTTCAAAAAGAATCTAGCCTTTCTTTGGCCTTTGCTGTTCGCTGCTGCAGTTTTACGCAATTTTACGCTTCTGCAGTTTCATAGTGCTACCAGTAACTGATTTGGGTGAACTTTCGTATTTTCCCCATCGAATTTTTTCAAAGTTGATACGTCCCCTGATAGAACTCGAGGAGCCTAGTCGCTTGATATAAGTTTTAAGTTTCGGAAACTTTTAATAAAATTTTTATGAATTTTTATGAGAGACCCTAAAGTTAGGTTAGGTCGCCCAAAATGTGCTCAACCCCTTTGAAACACTATTAAATGTATTAAGACTCTGTATCCGATTGAATAAAATAAAAAAATAAAAAATTTTTGAATTCAATTTTTCTCTCCCATAGACTTTAATGTATTTTTAGGGTCTCTGATAAAAAATTCATAAAAATTTTATTAAGAGGTTCCGAAAGCTGGGATTTGTGCCATTAGATAATTCACCTCAAAGGCTTTCAGGGGACGTATCAACTTTGAAAAAATTCAATGGGGAAAATACGGAAGTGTATCCACTGATTTCGCTGCATAATTAGTTTCATTATTTTTTATATGTACTATGTTTATTGTCTAGTTGAGCATCATGGCCTTTTGCCGCTCCGCCGCTCCTGAGCTTTCGCTTATATCGGCAGGTGTTCGAGTCTTAGACCCACCACCGCACAAGAGTTGGAGCCCAGTCCAATCCGCGGGTTCCAAAGACATCACCTGACTCCATTGCCTGCTGTAAGGAATTTTTCTCTAGGCCCCCGGCTTCCCTGAGACTGGCTTTGAGACACCAGCCTCCCGAACCTCGACTCGGATTCCGGGACGCGACACGAAGCCGCCAACCGTTCACCTCGCCCAGGCCCGGCACGTCAGCCTGGCCAACTTATATGTACTATGTATAGAAAAAACTTTTGTTAACGTAATATCGTATTGACGCTAAATTGTGCAGTAATCACTTTGTTTGTAAACGTGAGGAGTCATCGCCTCCGCCGACTGGCCTTCCGATACTCGTATTTTTCAGTTCAGTATAATCTA